TCTTGTACCTCCCCCACATAGGATTGAAGATTTTGAAAAACAAAAGTCTCAAAGAAAGCGAAATAACATTTTTATACCCTCTACCATAGTATGGAGAGTATATTAAGTTTGTAATTCCGTTTGAAACACCTCGAAATATACATTTTAGACCCCACAAAGTATATATATTCATGATCAGCATAAAATTCTATATCGATTTATTAATGTCCGTCCGTCTGTCCGTCTGTCCAAACTTGGTACATCGTACCATTTGTCCGTCTGTGGAAATCACTCTAGCTTTCGAACGAAATGAAGTAGGTTGATAAAATTTTACTCAAATGTGTACTATGTCTGCAGGACTTTTGGTATTGAAAATGGGACATGTACGTCCACGTTTTCGTATAGCCCACATATAACGGTACCTCCCGATATGCGGTATTTTGATGATTCTAGCGACATTTTTACCGGAATTGTTTCAAAATTAATATTTAAAGTTCGTAATAGATGCTACGGTTTAAGACAGAAAAATGGCCCATGTAAGTCCACGTCTTCGTATAGCACCCATATAACGGTACCCCCGATATTCGGTATTTTCATGATTTTAGCGACAGTATTTAACGGAATTATTTAAAATTTCGTATTTGAAGTTCGTAATGGGTACTACAGCCTATGACAGAAAATTGTCTTTGCAGGTCCACGTCTTCGTATAGCCCCCATATAATGGCACCTTCCTTTATTCGGTATTTTGATGATTTCAGCAACATTATTCACCGGATTCGTTTAAAATTTCGTACTTGAAGATCCTAATGGGTATTACAACCTATGGCAACAAAATTCGTATTCAGGTCCACGTCTTCGTATAGCCCCCATATAATGGTACCTTCCTTTATTCGGTATTTTGATGATTTTAGCAACATTATTCACCGGAATTGTTTCAAATTTGGTATTTGAAGTTTGTAATGGATACTACAGCCTAAGACAGAAATTTGTCTGTGCAGCTCCACGTCTTCGTATAGCTCCCATATAAGGGTATCCACCTATTTTCGGTATTTTGATGATATAAGCGACATTATTCACCGGAAAAGTTTCAAATTTGGTATTTGAAGTTCGTAGTGGTTACTACAGCCTATGACAGAAAATTGTCTTCGCAGGACCCCGCTTTCTTATAGCCCCCATATAACGGTACCTCCCGATATTCGGTACTTTGATTATTTTAGCGACATTATTCACCGGAATGATTTAAAATTTCGTATTTGATGTTCGTAATGGGTACTACAGCCTATGACAAAACTTTGTGTATGCAGGTCCAAGTCTTCGTATAGCCCCCATATAACGATATCTCCCGATATTCGGTATTTTGGTGATTTGACCGACATTATTCACCGGAATTGTTTCAAATTTGGTACTTGAAGTTCGTAGTGGATACTACAGACTAAGACAGAAAATTGTCTGTGCAGCTCCACGTCTTCGTGTAGTCCCATATAATGGTACCTCCCTATTTTCGGTATTTTGGTGTTTTACGCGACTTTTTTCATCGGAAATGTTTCAAATTTGAAGTTCGTAATGGATACTACAGCCTATGACAGAAAATTGTCTGTGCAGGTCCTTCAGGTCTGCGTTAGCCCCCATATAACGATACCTCCCTACTATATTCGGTATTTTAATGATTTTAGCTACATTATTTACCTGTTTTTTTTTTTTAAGTTTCGCATTTGAATATTGTAATGGCTTATGACAAAAGTTACCTTTACAGGTCCATGTCGTCGTATAGACCCTATAGCTACATTCGGTATTTTTATGATTTTAACAGAAATTTTAACGGATTTTATTGTTTTAGAGAATTGCCAAATTCGTTCCAAATGGTGGAGGGTATTCAAAGCCCGGTCCGGCAGAACTTACAGCTTTTTTACTTGTTTTTTATTAGGATGAACACAATGGGTCTCTCACGTTCATTATAATTTTCATTTCATCGATATTGCTTTCGTTGGAGTTCTTTAAGAGCCAAAAATGTCATTTATCTCTTTTTTCGAAACATAAAGAATATCCCAACACGGACCTGAAGGAGATTACTGTTGGCTAGTACTTTGGGTCCACTTTTTTCAAAGAATATGTAAATTCCTAATTAAACTTTCAAGAAAAATGCTTAACAATTTAATCTTTTTAATACTTTATGATATTGCATTCCAGTGTTTGTAATGATTTCCCAAATTTGCATTAACTTCGGAATTTCGTCTGCTGTGTAGTTCATTCTAGTGGATGTCAGATTTATGCTTCAATTAAATGAAATGTTTTTTTTTTTGTTTGTGGCAAGTCATATTCATTGTAGTTTCAGTTTCCACCGAGAAGGCAAACAATACAACAATATCTGAATAATTTGTAAATATTCCATTGTTTTGTTGTTGTTCGTTTTTGTTGTTGTTTTTCTCTCTCCACTGTTAATTATTTCATTAATTTATAATTGCGCGCGCTATTTTCCAAATGATATCATACAAATATATTTAGAATCTCGTTTGTTTTTTTTTTGTTTGGTGTGAGTTCGCATTTGTTTAGTTTAGCGCGGCAAGGAATTCATGTTACCACCGAACATATCAATCCAACAGCAGCAGCAGCAGCACCACCGCCGAAATCTACAAGATTTTTTTGATATTTTGATTTATAAGTCAACAAAAAAAAAAAAAAAACAACCATTGACCTTTGTTGGAAGCACAGAAAAAATGTAGTGTTAATTTTTTGCTAGATTTTTATGGAGATACATCTTCATTAAGTTTTGCAGCAAACAGCAGCGGATCGTGTTTTGAAGATTATCAATATAAACAAAGTTGAACGGAATTTTCTTTTCGTTTGGAAGAAGGGGTAATTTGCTAAACATATTTTTTCTTCCATTCTTCTTGAGTGAAATTTAATTTTGTTTGAGGATGGAGCAGGTGGCTCGATTTGCGGTGGTCGCGGATTTAAGATGGAAGAATGTACGAAATCCAGAGTCTACTGCAAAAAGTGAAAATACCGAATATCGGGAAACACCGTTATATGGGCGCTATACTAAAACCTGGACCTTTATATACTAAGTTCTGACATCAGAGCTTAACCCATTGCGAACTAAAAATACCAATTTTTAGACAAATCCGTGGAAAATGTGGCAAAAATCATCAAAAAACCGAATATCCGGATGTGCCAATATATGGGGGCTATACCAAAACGTGGACCTATATATACTATGTTCCGACACCGGATCTAGAACCCATTGCGAACTACAAATACCAATTTGTAGACAAATCCGTGGAAAAATGTGGCAAAAATCATCAAAATACCGAATATCGGGAAATACCGTTATATGGGGGCTATACGAAGACGTGGACCTGCACGGACAATTTTCTGTCATAGGCTGTAGTATCCATTACGAAATTCAAATACCAAATTTGGAACAATTCCGGTAAATACTGTCGCTAAAATCATCATAATACCGAAAATCGGGAGGTGCCGTTATAAGGGGTTATACGAAGACGTTAACCTGCACAGAAAAATTTTCTGTCATAGGCTGTAGTATCCATTACGAAATTCAAATACCAAATTTGAAACAATTCCTGTGAATAATGTTGCTAAAATCATCAAAATATCGAATATCGGGAGGTACCGTTTTATGGAGGCTATGCGAAGACGTGGACATGTAAAGCCAATTTTCTGTCTTGGGATATAGTATCTATTACGAACTTCAAATACCAAATTTGAAACAATTCCGCTGAAAAATGTCGCAAAAATCGTTAAAATACCGAATATCGGGAGGTACTATTATGTGGGGGCTACACGAAGACGTGGACCTGCACGGACAATTTTCTCTCATAGGCTGTAGCATTCATTACCAACTTCAAATACCAAATTTGAAAAAATTCCGGTGAACAAAAATCATCAAAATATCGAATATCGGGAGGTACCATTATGTGGGGGCTATACGAAGACGTGGACCTGCACAGACAATTTTCTGTCATAGGCTGTATTATCCATTACGAACTTCAAACACTAAATTTGAAAGAACTCCGGTGAATAATGTCATCAAAATACCGAATATCGGGAGGTACCATTATAGGGGGCTATACGAAGACGTGGACATGCACAGATACTTTTCTGTCATAGGCTGTAGTAATCATTACGAACTTCAAATACCAAATTTGAAACAATTCCGGTGAAAAATGTCGCTAAAATCATCAAAATACCGAATATCGGGAGGTACTGTTGTATGGGGGCTATACCAAAACGTGGACCTGCGTGATCAATTTTCTGTCATAGGCTGTAGTATCCATTACAAACTTCGAATACCAAATTTGAAACATTTCCGGTGAATAATGTCGCTTAAATTACCAAAATACCGAAAATATGGAGGTACCATTATATGGGGACTATACGAAGACCTGGATCTGCACTGACAATTTTCTGTCATAGGTATCTATTACAAACTTCAAATACCAAATTTGAAACAATTCCGGCGATTAATGTCGCTAAAATCATCAAAATACCGAATATCGGGAGGTACCGGTATATGGGCGCTATACGAAGGCGTGGACCTGCACGGACAATTTTTTGTCATAGGCTGTAGTATCCATTACGAATTTCAAATACCAAATTTGAAACAATTCTGGTGTGTAATGTCGCTAAAATCACCAAAATACCGAAAATAGGGAGGTACCATTATATGGGGGCTATACCAAAACGTGGACCTACATGGCCCATTTTCAATACCAAAAGTCCTGCAGACATAATATACATTTGAGAAAAATGTTATCAACCTACTATATTTCGTTCGGAAGCTAGAGTGAGTTCCACAGACGGACAGACACGAGGACATCGCTAAATCGACATAGAATTTTATGCTGATCAAGAATATATAATTTGTGAGGCCTAAAGTGTATATTTCGAGGTATCGCAAACGAAATGACAAACTTAAAATACCCTCCATACTATGGCGAAGGTTTTAAAAATTAGGTTCCTATATCGAAATAATATTTATTGTATTCCCCTTTCTCTTTCAGATCTTTATTGCCGTGAAAGCTATTTTCCAAAGAAAGCAAGAAAAACCCCCCAAACAATAATCATGGCTAAATTTATGTGAAAACTGGAAAGAAAACAACCCCACCCAAACACCAAACAATTGGTTGTAGTTTGGTTCTGCAGAAGAAATTTGTTTGGAAGTGCAAGTGTTTGAGACAGAAACAAAAATAGGAACTCAAAAACTTTGGAGACGAAATGCCTATACCGAACAGCACATCGGCCCAACAGCTGCGTCCATTAACACTGGCCGGGCCAGAGCGTGAACCTGTGCAATTTACCGTCAACCTGGTGGGGGCACCGGCTGAAGTTGAACAATTGGTACAGCAGATCAAAACGGTTGCAGAACAATTTCTCTATCACTGGAAGACATTTCCAATAGGTGAATATTTTTAAATGTTTCTAGACGAAATTTACTAAAATTTATTTTCTTTTTTTTGTAGTTCTACCCCAACCCCTATCGGCCGCTGCCTTAACCTTGGGCGGTGGCGCTTCAGCTGGCAATAATGGCTCCAACACTGTCGGCAATCGCAAGCCTCGACCCATCAATTTACGTGATTTGTTTATAGCACCACCATTCGATGAGTTGGATGCCGTGGCCACGGATGGTACCGGAGAGCCTCGACGCCTCACCAATTCCCAGCTGAAGTCATTGCGTGAAAATGGGTAAGTATGTGGGGAAGTTGGAAATTTCGGTATTAATTTTAGTTGTTTTTTGATTTTCTTTTTTGTTTTAGATTTGTTAGGGAAATTTTTTAGTTTGATATCGCTTAACTTTTTGTTTTTATTTACATTTTCGTTGCCTAAAATTGCTAAAGATTAAAAAAATTGAATTTTTCAAGTATGTCATTAACATGCATTTATCAAAATCATGCAGAGCTCATGTAGAAACAAGAACCAATACAAGACCAATATAATTTTAAATAGACAAGTTCGGAGTCCAAGCTGAACAAAATTCCAACTAAACAATTCCTTACCACAAAATTGAAGGTGCTCTTTTTTAAAAGCCAAGCAAATTTATTACAGAAATTTGTCAATTAAACCCTTTCTATAAATTGGCGACTCCCTGGGCCTCCAGCTTGTTAGGTTAGGCTGAAAAATGTTATTCCAATTGTGGTAGCCTGTCTCCTATTATGTGTTGAGACAATTTCCAGTGAATCCTCGACGCTACCAAACTTTCCATATTTCACCCACATTATTCTGATCTTCAACACCTCCCATTCCGTCTCGACAGATTACCTACTAAAAATCGTTTTCCCTGCATTTACCCATCTTCTTCAGCAAGTCAACACTATAGCTCGGCTATATAAACACATCCTGGAGCGTTCAGTACTTCTATACAATTTTTTAGTCGCCTCCCCTTCCTAATGGGTTATATAGACGAATGCTTGGACCATTTAGTTCGTATATATATGACATTCTCATCTGGTCAGGCCACCTATATAGATTCCCCTTACCAATCAGCTCTTGGATAGAAATGATTTCCTGTCCCTTCTATATCTACCCTGTTAGCTAGACTGTATTGTTGTCTTCCTGCTACGTTTAACTTATCCTTTCGACGAATCCTTGTTTTTTTAGCTCGCCTACATACACGACTCTTTACCCTATTCAGCACACTTATATGGTCGACTCCATGGTCCATTCAGGTCGTCAATACAGACGAATTCCTGGCCATCCAGCCAGTTCGTCTGTATATAGACGACTCCTTGCCAGCTCGTCGCTCCCGCCAGCTCGTCCCTGGCTCGGCAGCTCGGTTATATATAGACGACTCCCTGGCCAGCCAGATCGTCTATACATAGACGACGCTCTGGCCCCCCAAACTCGGCTACAAATAGACGACTTCCTGGCCAACAAAATAAATAGACGATTATCTGCCACCCAGTTCGTCTAAAGATGGACGACTGCTTTAGGTCTTCAATAAAAAATTATGGGTCTTTCAGCACTCCTTGATACTATCGGCTCAAAAATAAAGACGACTTCCTGGTCCACCAGTACCTCTATAAGGACTCCCTGGAACAAAAGCTCTTCCATGAGCATTTTCTGGGTCACCAGCTCTTCCATCATTAAGCCCTAGGCCTGTTGAGTAATGTCTAATTGGATTGATCTTTCAATGCTCGTCGAAATATGTACTTGGGCTTTCGGGATTTCAATAAAAAATAATGGGCCTTTCAGTTTTCCCTGACCCCTTTAGTTCCTCTCTATAGAGAAGACTCCCTGGTCTGCTAGTTCAACCACACGTTTTCTCTAGCCACCATCTCCCCTATAAGGACTCCCTGAGCCATTAGCTACTACATGCGGACTACTTTTTCCATCAGCTCTTCTATCTTAAACCCTAGGCCTGTTGACTTAATTTCTAATTGGATTGACCTTTCAATGCTCGTCGAAATATGTACATGGACTTTCAGGACTTCAAAAAAAAAAAAAAAAAAAATAATAATGGCCCTTTTAAGTTTTCCCTGACCCCTTTAGTTCCACTCTATAGAGAAGACTCCCTCGGTCCACTAGTTCAACCATAACTTTTCTCTGGCCACCATCTCCCCTATAAGGACTCCCTGAGCCATTAGCTACTACATGCGGACTACTTTTTCCATCACCTCTTCCAGATTGACTAGTTCAACCATAACTTTTCTCTGGCCACCATCTCCCCTATAAGGACTCCCTGAGCCATTAGCTACTACATGCGGACTACTTTTTCCATCACCTCTTTCAGATTGACGCTTAGGCCTGTTGACTTCATGACTGATCTTTTAATGCTCCTCGAAATCTGTATTTTGGCTTTAAGGTTTTCAATTAAAAATAATGGGCCTTTCAGTTTTCCCTGACCCCTTAAATTCTTCTCTGTAGAGAAGACTCCCTCGGTCCACTATTTCAAATTTTTCTCCATAAGGATTCCCCGTACACAATCTATCCTATAAGGACTGTCTGAGTCATAAGCTGCTCATAAGGACTACATAACTCACCAGCTCTTCAATATCGAAACCTAAGCCTGGTGATCTCCTGTCCTTTCTTTTAGCTCTTCTTGGCCCATTCAGTCCAGACCCTTTCAGGTCATCTCTATAGAGAAGACTTTCTGGTCCAAAAGTTTCTACATAGGAATTCCCCGGCCACAATTTCTCATATAAGGACTCCATGAGCCATCAGCTACTCCATAAGGACTACCTGTCCCATCAGCTCCTCTATATAGACCCCTAGACCTAATGATCTCTTGCCTAAATGTACTCACCGCCCTCTGGTCTATGTACACTCTTCTTTCATTCAGCACTTCATGGCCCATTCAGTCCAGACCCTTTCAGGCCATCTCTATAGAGAAGACTTCCTGGCCTAAAAGTTTCTCCATGAGCTACTCCATAAGGAAACTACCTATCCCACCAGCTCCTCTATATTGACCCCTAGACCTGATGATCTCCTGTCTAAATATACTCACCGGCTTCTGGTCTATGTAATGACTACCTATGCCACCAGCTCCTCTATATTGACCCCTAGACCTGATGATCTGTCTAAATATACTCACTGACCTCTGGTCTATTATGTATACCCCTCTTTCTTTCTTGGTCCATTCAGTCCAGACCCTTTCAGGTCATCTCTATAGAGAAGACTCCCTGATCCACTCCCTGAGCCATCAGCTACTCCATAAGTACTATCTATCCCTCCAGCTATCCAATATTGACACCTAGGCCTGATGATCTCATTTCTAAATAGACTCACCGTTCCCTGGTCTGTGTAAACTACCTGGTCCTTTATTACCCTTCGAAATAGGCTTCAAGTCTTCGATATACCAAATTATGATCCACTCAGTTCTCGTCTGTAGATACTACTATACCTAATCTATATTTGGATATTAAGACAGGCACCCTAGCATTCCTTTTTTCATAAAGCGTACTTATTTATACAAACCAGGAAGCTCTTTAATTACGAACCCTTTGACCTTGTGTTCCTATATAAAATCTGCTTGGATTTGGAGCTTGAATAAAGGGGCTCAACGCCAGAAAACCCTTAAGTCTTAGGTCCTCTGAAAAACATCCTCTTGTTATAATCCCTACCACAAAGAATCTCCGACTTTATATCAATTTTGAACTTCCAACCTAACACGAATTCATGCATTGGTTTTAAAACCTATAAAAAATAAGATAGGATAACATAATTTTATTAATTTCCAAACCAGCACTTTTACAAAAAAAAAAAAAAACATTTTTTCTTTCAAAATTGTTTTCTTTTTTGGAAATCACCCAAATTTCCAATATTCTTTTTATCGAAATTTGTTTATTTTTAAATGCTTTTTGCATGTCTCTTCAACTCACTTCATCGTCATCATGGCATCACAACCAACTCACCTCACTACACTTCACCTCATTTCACTATTCACTCTCACCTCACCCATCAATCAATCACACACTCACTCGATATCATATTCATCATCATTTCTCTAATCCGTTTTTACTTTCAAACAATACTGAACTGAAAAAAATATCAAATTATATTCTCTTTCTATATTAAAAACCAAATCACAAAAACAACTACAACAATCAATATCTTGTATATCCGTATTTCTAATTTGCATTAACAACAAATTTACTACTACCACCAACAATAACAACAAACCCAAAAAAAAAAAACAAAAACTTTAAACAAAAATTAACCAAAAAATACACCCACACACACACTCACAAAAATAGCTTACAAAAGGACAAATATGGAAAACCCAAGAAATTAACTTTGGAACAATTGGAAACCATACGTAAAAATGGGTAAATACAACAATAATAAACAATAATCAAATAAAGAAAATATTAGTTCATTTCAATTAAAAATTTAAATAAATAAACTATATTTTATTAAACCATAACATTACCAGACAGAAACATTTGAATGAAAACAGTTCAAATAAATGTCTAATATCCCTCTCCCCATACATAAATGTTTTTATTATTTTGTTTTGTTTATATAGAGATAAATATTTTATGTAATTATATTTATTGTTTTTTCATTATATTCTGTTTGGTTTTAATTATGAATTGTTCTTTTTTGACATAAATTAAAATTTAATTAGTCTATTATATATGTTTAAGAATATTTCGTTTGTTATATAAATTGTATTGAGATTTTTTTCACAGTAATTGTAATATTAAATAGTGGGGATATTTTGGTATTATTTGAAGGCCTTTAGAAAAGTATTTGGTATAAATAAAATGTTTTTAGGAGAAATTTTTATTTCAAATACCAGGAGGTCCCTTAAAGACATTTTACCAATGGGAAAGCCTTCTGAGAAGTCATCTATAAAGAGAACACATGTTTCCTCCTTTCCATAATGGAGGGTATACACTATGGAAATTGTCATTCGGTTTGTGACATTTGCGAACAATCATCGGATACTCCATAAAGTATATATGTATGTTCGTCCAATTGAAATAAAAATACAACCAATTTTTTTTAATTGGTATTACGAAGCCCCTGATATTGAGTCTTTTGGCAATTTAATGAACAATTTGAAATGAAATTTTTAAAAATGATATGATGATTTTCATTAAAATTCCAAATATCAAAAGGTGCAAAGGTTCTGAAAACAATTTTTTTTTTTTCAATTTCAAATTGTTCTATAAATTGTCAAAATATTCAATCGAAATGAAGGTTTTAGACCGCAGGTCCAATGGACCAAATCCATTTCAGGACATTTGGAGTCGATCTAGATGTGTCTGGAGTAAACTATAACTCTCGAATGGAGTATCCGATTTGGTCCAAACTTGGTACATTGTAATATTATTATCAAAATTACATCGAGTTCTGATATGGACAATATCGATCCACTCCTTCTGGTACATACCAAAGAAATACCAACAAATCTCGAAATTTTCAAAAAAAAAAAAAAAAACCTGCACAGAAACTTTGCAAATCTTAATGTTTGCATCAGTGCTAGGTCAGGTGCGAAAATGGACAACATCGGTCCACTCCATCAAGTACCTATCCCACAAAGGGTCCAAATTTTGGATAATTATAACTCTTATAAAATGTAACGTAAGAGTCCGATTGCCTTCAAATTACACACTTTACAATATTTTTATTAAACGAAGGTCTAGTGCGAAGATGGAATATATCGATCGGCTCCTTGTGGTACCACTCCCACAAACGGTCAAAGTTTTGAATATCCAAGAAGCTCATCTAATTAATTTCCGATTTCATTCGAACTTGGTACATCTCAATATTTCTATCAACACAAGATCTGTTATAAATATGGTAGAGGTTGGACCATTTCTTCTGGTACCTCCCCCACAAAGGATCGAAGTTTTGAATATCCAAAATGATTTTAAAATCTCTCCACAAGGGGTCACAATATCCATGAAGCTCATAAATCACGAAATTAACATCCGATTCCATTCAGACTTGGCACATCTCAATGTTTCTATCAATAAAAAATCTATTATAAAGATGGTAGGGATCGGACCATTCCTTCTGGTACCTCCCGCACAAAAGGTCAAAATTTTGAATGACGAAAACGATCATAAAATACGAAATAAGCATCCAGTTCTCTTCATATTTCACACCTCCCATTATTTCTACTGACATAAGATCTTCTGTGGATATGGGATACATCATAGAACGCTAAATTTTCGATTCCATTCAGACTTGACACATTTCAAAATTTCTATCGACACAAAATCTGTTATAAAGATGGTACGGATCGGATCAAAAAAAGCGAAATTAAGACTTAGCACATCTCAATATTTCTATCAACATAAGACCTGTTATAAAGATGGTAGAGATCGGACCATTTCTTCTGGTACCTCCCTCAAAAGGGTCAAAATTTTGAATAACTAAAACGAATATAAAATCCGAATCTGGTGCTCTTCGCATTTCACACATCCAATTATTTCTACTGATACAATATCTGCAGTGGATATGGGACATATCGGTCCACTGCTTCTGCAGTGGATATGGGACATATCGGTCCACTGCTTAAATAGTCAAATATTTGAATACCATGAAACTCATAAAACGAGAAATTAACATCCGATTCCATTCAGAATTTGCCCATACCAATTCAATTCATTCAATATTCAATATTTGCCCATACCAATTTTTTATCTCTATAAGATGTGGTATGAAAACGGAATACTTCGGTCGACTATATCTGGTACCTCACGCACCTTTGACATTTTTGAAAAATTATCCCCTATCTCATATTAAGTGAAAGAAGTAACCAATATAGTCCAAACCTGGAAGGTCGCAATAGTTATATCATATTTAATTAGGTCCGATACGAAATGGACAACATTGGCCCAATCCTTCGGAACCTAGTCCATAGAGGGTTAACAAGTCTAATAATCATAACAGAAGTCAAAATATACTTATAAAAATCAAACATTAGCTGAGGAAATACAGGGGAAATATTTGGAATACAAAATCGACTGATACTTTTTAACTTGTTATGTTCTTTAGGAGGTATCAATCGATCAAAAGTGGTCTGGTGTGGGATACGTTATTTATATAATGAATATTTTTGATTCTTACCCAGAAGTAATACTCATTTTAAATCTGGTGATCAAATACATTGTTTTAACAAGGCCATTTTGGTCACTAAAATACCTTTAAAAAATATATTTTATTATCGGCTTCAGCCACTAAAAGACCTCACATAAGTACTTATTTATAGACCTTTTGGTGACTAGGAAATAATTACACATTTCTTGCGACATACCCTTGTTAATATATGGGTTTATATGCCCAGATTTATAATAAGAATTTTTGCTGGCTAAATATTCTCTATATTTCAATTAAAGTAAAAATTAACAATAATAGTAATTTTTATTATAAAATTTCAGTTCAAAGATTCATTGGAAGTATACTCTTATGTACATTGATAATTTATTTTTAAAATAAAAAATCTTTAAATTGTTTTTTGCATACCAATCTAAATTTTTTTTGAAAAATCATATTTTTTTTGGAAAACTTTTTATCCTTTTGTATGTTAGAGTATATGTTTTATTATGTGTTAAGTGTCTATAATTACTAATACTATCACAACTATTACCAACACAATTAACTAAATACTGTCACAACATTTTAACCTTAGACCAGGTCAACAAAAAAAAAAAAAAAAAAAAATAGAAAAACATCAGGGCGGTGGAGTTGAGTTGCTCGAAGGAGGACTACCAGCGAAGTCATAGAATGATAAGTATTGAATGAAAAGTATTGAGAATTTTATAAAGACAACAAGTCTACCTACATAACAAAGCAAAATGAACTCTATATCGGTAATTATTTTCGAGGAACTGCAATTTTCTTCACAAATTTTATAAAAATTAATACTTTTCCCAAAAAAAAAAAAAAAAAGAACTAGTAAGGAAACATCAAAAGTCGGGAGGACCCTACACCACTATGCATATTTAGTGGAGCTCCCGAAACAAAAGAATTTATTTGAAGTAGATCATACCACCTATCAACATTTGAGTTTCGAGCAGTTATAGTTTGGTTTCAGAGGGAACTAATATATGGGAGGTATATCCAATTCTGAATCGATTTTTACTAAATTCGACGGAGATATTTTTATCTTTTGTACCGAATAACATTGCTATAGAGAGCTTTGTATCACTTCGAGAAAGATTATTCAAAAAAAAAAAACATATCGGAGCCGAGTTCCATAAAATGAAAACGTTCAATCCGAAATTCACTCCATTCGGATTGATATTAGCCACTACAATAAACCTGAAATCGGATTAAGGATATATGTGGGGAGCTATATCAAAATTTTAGCTGATCTCGATAACATTTGGCAAATGTATTTCCGAGCTCTATAAGATATCTGATACCAAAGATCATTCTTGTGGAATGCATATTACTCATGTGAGGGTCTTAAAACCCCAAATCAGTTGAAACATGTATATGGGAGCTATAGCTATGTCTGAACCGATTTGCACCAACTTTGATGTACTTGCAACTAGACTGAATTCGGTCGGATGTGCCAAAATTCAGGTCATTTGGACTGATATTGGCCATTTGGTAGACAATTAACCCGAAATCGGTTGAAGATATATAGGGGAGCTATATCTAAATTTGAACCGATCTTAATAAAATTTGGCAGAGGTATTTCTGGGATGTATTTGATATCTGTTACCAAACATCTTAATCTGATCGGATCTTGATACAATTAGGTCGATCTTTTGGATATAACATGGGCAGACGGACTGACATGCATAAATCGACTCAGAAAGTGATTCTATGAAGATCGTCAAAAGTTACTATGGGTCTATCTCGCTACCTTATCCACCACTATGTGGTGTAGGGTATAAAAAGAGTGGATGGTAGGGTATAAAAAGAGTTGATCATGTCTCGGTCATGCCTTTAGTGACCTCATTATAGCCTCCACTATAGTATGGAGAGTTTATAATGTTTGTCATTTCATTTGTAACACCTCGAAATATACACTTAAGACCCCACAAAGTATATATATTCTTGATCAGCATAAAATTCTATGTCGATTTAGCTGTGTCCGTCCGTGTGCCCGTCTGTGGAAATCACTCTAGCTTCCGAACGAAATGAAGTGGGTTGATAAAATTTTACTCAAATGTATATTATGTCTGCACGACTTTTGGTACTTAAAATGGGCCAAGTAGGTCCACTTCGTATAGCCTCCATAGAACGGCACCTCCCGATATTCGTTATCTTGATGATTTTAGCGACATTATTCACCGGAATTGTTTCAAATTTGGTATTTGAAGTTCGTAATGGATACTACAGCCTATGACAGAAAATTATCTATGCAGGTCCAGGTCTTCATATGGCCCCGATATAACGGTACCTTTCTATTTACGATATTTTGATGATTTTAGCGACATTATTCACAGGAATTGTTTCGAAGTTGGTATTTGAAGTTCGTAATGGATTGTACAGCCTATGACAGAAAATTGTCTGTGCAGATCCACGTCTTCGTATAGCCCCCATAGAACGGCACCTCCCGATATTCGGTATTTTGATGATTTTAGCGACATTATTCACCGGAATTGTTTCAAATTTGGTATTTGAAGTTCGTAATGGATACTACAGCCTAAGACAGAAAATTGTCTTTGCAGGTCCACGTTTTGGTATAGCCCCCTTATAATAATACCTCCCTATTTTCGGTTTTTTGATGATTTTAGCGACATTATTCACCGGAATTGTTTCAAATTTGGTATTTGTAGTTCGAAATGGATACTACAGCCTATGACAGAAAATTGTCTGTGCAGATCCACGTCTTCGTATAGCCCCCATAGAACGGCACCTCCCGATATCCGGTATTTTGATGATTTTAGCGACATTATTCACCGGAATTGTTTCAAATTTGGCATTTGAAGTTCGTATTGGATACTACAGCCTATAAAAGAAAATTGTCTGTGCAGGTCCACGTTTTGGTATAGCCCCCATAGAATGGCAGCTCCCGATATTCGTTATCTTGATGATTTTAGCGACATTATTGACCGGAATTGTTTAAAATTTGGTATGTGAAGTTCGTAATGAATACTACAGCCTAAGACAGAAAATTGTCTGTGCAGGTCTACGTTTTGGTATAGCTCCCATATAAAGTTACCTCCCGATATTCGGTATTTTGTTGATTTTAGCGACTTTATTGACCGGAATTGTTTCAAATTTGGCATTTGAAGTTCGTAATGGATACTACAGCCTAAGACAGAATGTTGATATGATGGCCCACGTCGTCGTATATACCCTAATTCGGTATTTTTAAGATTTTAACAGAATTTTTAACGGAATTAGTTTTTTTTTTTGAAAACTGCCAAATTCGTTAACAGGATTTTTTACGGATTTTATTTTTTTGAAAATTGCCAAATTCGTTTCAAATGGTGGAGGGTATTAAAAGTTCGTCCCGGCCGAACTTACAGCTTTTTGGCTACGATAGTTTAAATATGTTTACTGTCGTATCCCGAAACATTGTCGATGTCGGCTATGACAAAAAATGGATTTTAGTCAGGAAAATCAAAATCTGAATCAGTGTGCGCCATGAACTTATATATCTAAATGTATATTCAATGAAATGAAGGCATATTTCCATTTTATTTCACTCAAAATTTTGGAATTATTTCATTAAAATTGAAAAGATTTTCGGTTTATTAAAATAAATTGCTCTTAATCCGGAAATTCTGCTTTTGAAAGTCTATTTGTATACCCAACTTTCTCTCGGCAAACCCAACTCCTGCGGCCTGATACCAATACAAACTGCCCGCCCACCTAATTTAAAACATCAACCCAAACCAACCACCCCCCAAAACACAATAAAAATTAAAAAAAGCTATACAAATCTTTCATTGTAATTTCATGGTAACATATTTTGGTATTTTCTTTTTTATATTTTGTTGTAAAACTTATTTAAAAAAAAAAATATGTAAAAAATTCTGCTTGAGTAGCAAAGCTTCAACAATGCATGTTAGATAAAAAAAAAAAAACAATTTTCTCTAAATGTCAAATATATGATGTCCTTTCAAGGAATAATAAATAACCACAAAACTAATACCTTATTTTTCTTATTTTTTTCATACCAACCCTACCTGCCTCCCTCCCGCTCCACAGAGAATTTAATGTGCCTAGTCTACACTTTCCGGGTCAGGTCCACAAGTGGCGTTTGTCACAACTGCTGCAAAAGGGAACATTGCGGGCCCATGATTCCTTTCTAAGCGATTTGGCTTTGGCAGCTAGATTTTTGGTGATCACCGCTCGTGGCCGTATATTCTCACATTTCTTCTCCGTTTGTCATGCAATCCATGCCCTGCTGCATGGCCTCATCAAATTGGTTGATATGTTTATTGGAGTGCCGGCATTGCTGGCCCACAATTTGGACTACAAGATCAAGGAGGAACGATGTCGTTTTTTAATAGCCGAGCTGGTGTGTAGGGTAAGTGTGCAAAGCCTTCAAAAACTTTTGGATATTTTTTCTAATTTTCCTTCTCCTCCTCTTCTCCTTTCCAGCCCGAATTCGAGGACTGCCTCGATGGCCTGTGCTCCTATGTCCGCAAAATGCTGCGCCGCGCCACAATGGAGAAATTCGATTTTAACAGCTGTGAAAGTACACAGCCCGTGCCATATCTATTCCTCACGCCAAAAGGTCAAGAAATCGATTTGCGTCTCTTTTGTCGCGATATCATGCGCAAGGCATTGCCCATTTTGATTGGCATATTGGAACGTGAAACCCGTGGTTGGTTTCTACATTTCCGTGAACGTTTGATAGGCGAACTAAGAGATAAAAAATTGACCGACAAGGAAATTGAGGAGGAGGTTAACGAGGCTGTTATGAAGGAGTATTTGCAGAGGGTCTACACCTCGATTATGAATAATCCCAAACTGGCCGAATTGGGTCATGGCATACCCGAGCTGTTGGTGCAACAGGCTCAGGCAGTGGTCATTATGTACAAGGCCGTGGAAAAGGTACAGAATGACATTAAACGATCACGTGAGGACCATGAGAAATGTTTGGCCAATGACCATGCTGTGCTGTCGCGAGTGGCTCCATGGTTAAGGGCCAAATTAAGGCATGCCGAGGAGTCAAAACTCTCCAAGTCTGCCTGGTCGGCCCATGAGGAGGCCTTGAAGATGTGTACGAAACAAAATCTGCATCAAACGGCCTACTTCCTCAGCCGTGACCTGGCCTTTATGAAGGAACGCGAACCGGTTCTCCTAAAGGAGTTGAAAAATGCCAAAACTCCCACACGCAGTTTCCAGTGGGCCTGTCGCATTTGGTCTCCCAAGTCGTGGATAATCAAACGGAATTTTCAAGGACAATCGGATATTATACCCACGGTAATAAGTCAACAGGCCACCTCAATTGTTACACCACGTTCGGATCCCTCGCAACCGGTATTTTTGGTGGAAAAGGAAATCATTCGGACCACAAGTACTCGCTGGCCATTTTGGCGTCTACTGAATCTCATGCAACGAACCTGGTGTTGGACCTGGAATATGATGTTTCTGTTGGGCATTCTGGTGCCCTGGTGTAGCCCCCTGAGTCTGAGAGCCCTATTCTGTGTTAAGCCTTTCATGCCTGATTTAGAACTATCGCAAATTAATGGAACTCTATTTCCGCGCAAGACAAGCATAACACAGACTATGGCATCGAGGTTGATAGAACTATGGCGTCACATATCAAAATCGCGGACACATTTCGAAACGGAACCGGATACGGGTAAATATTTGAAGTAGATGTTTTTTTTGGCGTGATTAATCTCTCTATTCTCCCCTTAGGTTTTATTGGCAAAGGCTTTACGCGTAACCTAAACCGTGTTTGGAACTACTTTGTAAAGGGTTTTCTTGGGACGGTGGTCATACTGTTTGCCTTTCCGCTGCTCTGTTTGGCTACCAGCCTTTTGAGCATTCTACTTGCCTTAACTGCCCCCTTTTGGATACCAGTCTTCACCATACTCCTACACATCTATATGATATTAATCTATGATCTCGATTCGCCGGATAATACTCGTAACCGTTACTGTATACTGCTGGAGGCATTGATATGGAATATTCTAATACAGGGCTGTGTGCAGCCCATTGTGGCTGTGTTTGTGGCCAGTGTTGTGTGTCCCCTGGTGTCGGGTATAATACTGATAGGTGAGAGCGAAAATAAATAAATCCCTAGAAATTAAAATTTAATATCCGTTTTTTTTCAGTTGGGGTCATACGTTACTCTCTGCGCCTGTTCTGGGACTCGCTCACCTTCCATTTGTTCATTAAGAAATGTGGCCGTATACCAGCCTCCGATAGTTTGGTTGTCAAACGTATTGCCGGACCGGGTTTAGCTTTAGATTATTATTTTGTTATACGCCCGGAACAGGCCTTGGCTGCCTTTGAAGCCAAAATGGAATTGGATGAATTGCAAGCCTATCAACATGCCATGGAACGTATAATACTTACCCCGCAAAAAGATTTTTCACAATTTGTCGAAGCATGCTTTGGCCCATTTTCGGCTCAGCTGTCAAAATCCGGACCCTATTTGGCACTGGATCGTGAGGCCCAAGATTTGACTGCAACACTGCATGAAAAGTTGGAGAAACGACGCCGTGAGCTACAGACAAATTTAACGTCTCAGGTGAAATCGCGCATTAAATTAACCACAAAGGAATTAAAGGTAGGATTGAATTTGATTTTTTGCTTGCGATTTTGCCTTGATTGCAGAGGGAAGAGTAAGGATGTCGGAATAAATAAGAATATCTTTAATATTTTCAAAACTGAGAAATGTCAATAGATAAGAGATGTCAGAGATAAAGCAAGTTGTAAAGAATCGCCGATTTGTATTGGAAATTGTGACCCTTTATGGGTGATGTACCAGAATGGGTTAGCAGATGTATGTCATCTTCACAACAGATCTTGCTTAAGCAAAAATGTTAGTGTGTGGGAGATTTGAGATGGATATTGGTATTTGGATGCTTATTTCGCTTTCTTTGACCGTTTTGGTTATTCAAAATTTTAACCCTTTGTGGGGGAGGTACCACAAGGAATGGTCCGATCTCTACCATCTTTCTAGCAGATCTTGTGTTGATGGAAATATTGGGATGTGCCAAGTCTGAAAGGAATCCGGCGATATTTTCGCGTTTTATGAGCTTTATGGGTACACCAAAATTTTGACTCTTTCTGGGGGAGGTACCAGAAGGAGAGGACCGATACATCCCATCTTCACTCCAGGTTTTGGGCTAATAAAAACATTGCGATGTGTGCAAATTGAAGAGAACCAAATGCTTATTTTGGGTTTTATGATCGTTTTCGTTATTAAAAATTTTGACCCTTTGTGGGGGAGGTACCAGAAGGAGTGGACCGACATTTCCCATCTTCACACCAGGTTTTGGGCTAATAAAAATATTGTGATGTGTGTAATTTGAAGAGAACCGGATGCTTATTTTGGATTTTATGATCGTTTTGGTTATTCAGAATTTTAACCCCATGTGGGGGAGGTACCAGAAGGAAGGGCCCGATCTCTACCATTTTTATAACAGATTTTGTGTTGGTGGAAACATTGGGATGGGCCAAGTCTGAATGGAATCTGACGTTATTTTCGCGTTTTATGAGCTTTGTGGGTACTCAAAATTTTGAACCTTTGTGGGGGAGGTACCAGAAGCAGTGGACCAATATATCCCATCCATCTTTCTAACGAATCTTGAGTTGATGGAAATATTGGAATGTGCCAAGTCTGAATAGAATCGGACGTTACTTTCATGTTTTATGAGCTTCATGAATATTCAAAATGTTGACCCTTTGTGGAGGAGGTACCAGAAGGAGTGGACCGATATATCCCATCTTCACACCAGATCTTGGATTAATAAAAATATTACGATCTGTGTAATTTGAAGACAATCGGACACTTACATCACATTTTATAAGAGTTATAATTATTCAAAATTTTGACCCTTTGTGGGGGAGGTACTTGATGCAGTGGACCAATATTGTCCATTTTCCTACCTGACCTAGCACTGATGCAAATATTAGAATGTGCAAAGTTGGAGCAAAATCGGATTATCTTTTCTCTTTTTGTGCAGTAAATTATTTTCTTTGAAAATGTAGACATTTTGTGGGGGAGGTACGAGAAGGAGTGTACCGATATTGTTCATCTCGGAACTCCATCTAAGTTTGACAATAATATTACGATGTACCAAGTTTGGATCAGATCAGATACTCCTTTCGAGAGTTATCGTTCACACCAGCCAGACATCGCTAAATTGACTCTAAATGTCTTGAAACTGATTTGGTCCAAAGAGACCTTGGTTCACGTTTTGGCCGTATCAAATGATATATACCCTCTGTAGCCATATGACTGAGCCTGTAGCCATATGACTGAGGGTATAGCCATATGATTGAGGGTATAAAAAGGTGTTTCAGATTTTTCTGTAAGACTTTGTAAAGTTCACATGTTAATAGAAGTCCTCAGTTGATGAGGGCTTTTGAGAGGTATTTTATAGATCGACACATTATTTTTGGATCTTTTGCATATAGAAGGCCTCTCGAAGGTTTTAGCCATAGATGATCTTCTGAGGGTCTTCTGTACACAGAATAGTTTCTAAGAACCTCCTTCAAGCCTATGAAGTCTCCTGTAGAAAGAAATCATATTTGTCTAAAGAGAAATCCCAGATGTCTAAAGAGTTTTCTAGAGATAGAGAACATAAAACGAATTCGAGGTAATTGGAGAAGATCTCCATGCGCACTTTTCCTTTAGAACACCTTTAGTATTTCTTAAAAAAAGTTTTACCCTGAGGACCCTTCGTGCTTTTGGACCACGCAATGCTTAATTCTCGTGGGCTTCAAGAAATTCCAATTGATTCTCCGAAAATAGCCTCATTTTAATTTTTCTATTTTCTTTTTATTCTTCCATTCACAGATTGCCATACAACTTGCCGCCCATATCTTGGAGAAATACTATCCGTCTCATATTATAGCTAGATTATCCATAAGTGAAGAAGAATTTTGGGATAATAAGGTGAGACCTACACAAATAACCCTAAGAAGGACCAATAAATAAATTCAATCTATTTTTCTCTTTCTTTCAGGGCTTAACCGTCAACGATTGGCCCGGTTTAGCCGGTCTCATCTATACGGAAATATTTAGTTTAGATTTTCTAACGCCACTCTTAGAGAACGATACCCATTTCAAATTGGAACCACATCCGACATTGGATCTGTCACGCTACAGCGAAATGGTACAGAATGCCACCGATGTTATTGGTTCCAAGGGTTTAGATTTACTGGGTAATGTCTATGCTCCGCGTGGTAATGTTCAGGTACATTTACCGTTTCTGGAGGTGACGGCATTTAATCCGCGATCTAGAATAACATTGAATTTTAGAAAGCCCGATAAGAGGTAAGTCGTATTTTTATTTTTATGGAGGATTTGTTTTTAAATAAAATTTGTGTGTTTTTTTGCAGGGACATGTCTGTCGGCTTGACCACACCTCGCGTACGCGCCCATCGTGCAGCTCAACAAACAAAAACACCTGAGACCAAAAAACCCTGGCGTCCCTGGAAGAAGAAAGTCGATGAGAAGAGTGTCACCGAAAAACTTCTAATACCTCTGCCAGTGCCGCATCCTGTACATATAGCGATTAGTATTTACAATCGTGATGCTGAACATCCCATACCATTGGATTCGGAATTGGTGTGGGAAATTTTGAAATCCATCGAGGATTGTCAGGGTGGTGATGCAATGGTAAGCTGATGGAGGGAAATTCCAAAGACTTTGAAAGTGTTGACTATATACAGAAGACTTTGTAAGGGACTTGCAGAGGAAGGTCTCCCGGTCAATGGAATTCCTTAGAACAGATGGCCTCATTTAGAAAAAATTAAAGAAAAGAAAACCTATTAAAGGCCCTTAGCCACATAGCATCTATAGAAGTCTTCAAGTCTTCTTCTATATCAAAAATTCCGGAAAAGGGTGTCTTCTCTAGGCGTAGGACTAAAAATGGTATTATTTATATTGCGGACTATTCAGAGAACTTTATTGACAAAAACTTTCCTGAGGGTTTTAAGGATTGAATATTATCATCTTGTGGTCTTCTGTGTGCAGATCATTTTCAAGAAGTCTTATACAGAGAGAATCAAATAGACAGAATACCTTCTAAGGGTACTTCTTTTGAGGGTCTTCTATACATTACAGAACTTGAAGGGGATTTGTAGAAAAAGGCTCCCGGTCAATAGATTTCATGAGGATATCCTCTGTCAAATGACGACCCATAGAAGTTATTTTGGGCCCAGATTGATGGCTTCACCAATGGACAACTATAAGGTGTTCCCGCTAGAGAGGTTTAATAGAACGTATCTAAATATAGAGGACCTTTAAAATGCCCTTTAACAATAGAATAGTTGTGGAAGGTCCCCTGTAGTAGTTTTCAAGAAGTTATTCTGGCTTTCTTTAACTAAAATACCTTCCCAAAAATCTTGAATAGATAAAATACCATCAAGTCAGTCTAGGGTGTCCAATCTAGACTGCAGACCTAAAATGGTATTCTATATATACACAATTTAGAGAAATTTATTGACAAACAATTTTCCTCCTTCGATCTTTTGTGTACAAACTATGTTCTGGAAGTCTTCTACAGAGAAGTAAAGATACAGATAGACTACTCTCAAACATATAGAATCCTACTTTTAAGGGTCTGGTATATATGGAAACCTACTGAGGGTTCTCCCTGCTTAGATGCTACTTTAAGGTTCGAAAATAAGATTTGAAGGTCTCCTATGTATTGAAGATTCTTTGAGAATTTTATGATCATAGAAGGCCCTTTGATGGCAAAGAATGTCTATTGAGGGAGGGTCTACTACTTTTCGAAAACCCTCGAATGGAATTTTTTTACATTGAAGACCCTTTGAGGATCTTCTATACTTAGAATACCGTCTCAGAGTCTCATATGCAAGGAATATCTTCGAAGGGTCCCTATACTTGAAGACACTAAGGTCTCCTAGACGTCAAAGGAGGATATTTTATACATAAAAGTTATTCTGATAATATTCTACAAATAGAAGTCTTTGTGATAGAGTTCTGGACATATATAATCTCTGAAGGACCTTATTAAAGACTTCTTTGATATAAAGGCTTGCTAAGTGCTTTCTTTTAATATATTTTTCATGATACTCTTTAAATATAAGACGTTCTGAGGCTCTTTTAGAAAAGAGAGGATTGCCGTACTTAGAAGAGCTTCTGAGGATATTTTATACGTAAAATTTATTCTGATGATATTCTAGTCAAACAATTCTTACTGATGAGGTTCTGCACATAGATGATTTTCTGACGGTCTTCTGTACACACATGTGCTTCAAGAAGACATTAAATTAAAGGCTTCTTCAAGCCTCCCTTAAAAATAGATATTTTTATGATATGCTGTAAATAGAAACTCCTCAGAGGGTAGTGTCTACATAAAATTCCTTCAAAGAGTCTTCTTCGAATAGAATGCTTTCTAAAGGTCTATTAGGGGTCTACTGAGGGATTGCCGTACTTAGAAGAGCTTCTGAGGATATTTTATGCGTAACATTTATTCTGATGATATTCTAGACAAACAATTCTTACTGATGGGGTTCTGGACATAGATGATCTTCTGAGGGTCTTCTGTATACACATGTGCTTCAAAGAGACTTTAAATTAATGGCTTCTTCGAGCCTCCCTTAAAAATAGATATTGTTATGATATGCTGTAAATAGAAAACCCTCAGAGGGTAGTGTCTACATAAAATTCCTTCCAAGAGACTTCTTCAAATAGAATGCCTTTTGAAGGTCTATTAGGGGTCTACTACATCTTCTAAAGAATCAATAACAACAGTTTCCCATACTTAAAAGAAATTCAGAGGGTCTTCTGAGACTCTTGGCACATGGACGATTTCCTGAGGCTATTAAGATATTGCCAAAAATATCTTAATGCTTTTTGAAGGTCTAGTGAGCTTCTAAATAGAATAATTTGTGTTTTTTCTATTAAAAAAATCTCTTGCATTTTTCCATATGTTGAAACCCATCAGAGGGTCATCAAAGCATTAGGGCATTTTGAGACTTTCTGTGCAAGGAAATCTTACTAAGGAAATCGCTAAGGTTCACCGTTAAATACAATACTTCCTGAAGGTCTGGCAATGATCTTCAATATGGAATAGCATTTAAATTTCATCATATCATATTTCTAAAATTTCCCCATACAAAAAACACCTTCAGAGTCTTCAATATGCTGAGGACTTCTGTATATAAAATAATTACTGAGACTTCATAGGGGTTTCTTTTATGAGAACGATTATTGGAAGTCTAAGTGATGTCCTACTATATAGAAAATACCTCAATACATATGTCTCTAACATTTTCTTTTTTTTTTACTTTTCAGGCTGTAGCTCAACAATCTGTGGCTCATTATCGTGGAGCTGTAACAGAATCTAGTAACGATTCGCTGGCATCCAGCAGTAGTATAGGAAGTACAAGAGAATCAGCTTCAGCCACCGGTTCCGGTTCGGGTATTGGCAATGGCACCGAAACATTGCCATGTGTCAATCGAGAGGTAGGTTCTTTAATTTTGATTAATTTTTTAAATTGATGACTTTCCATTTCTTTCCCGTTTTCAGGTCTGTACCCAAGTCAAAGTTGCCGAAGAACAACCGCCCAGCTCTGGTTTTCATTGGACCCTAAGCAATTGGGGTGCAGCACAAACTGCCCGTAGACGTACAAATTCAAATGTACGCGTAGATTTAGCCAGTCCAGAGGATATCTCATTAGATACGGACAGTTCAAGGGCTGTCTTCAATCCATATGGGACAACAGTTTAGAATACTGTGTGTGTCTATTGATCCAGCAGCATTATTATGATTATTATTATCGAATAAAATAAAACTAAGTATCGTCGTCATATGAAAAAAAAAAAACAAAAATCATTTGAAACAGAAAACCAACCAAAAAAAATAATGTTAATTAATGGTAAATTGCTTTTTTATTACTTTTTATTAGATAAACAAAAACAAAAAATCAACAAACACTTTTTATGTGTTTGCCAAGTATGAACAAACAACAAAAAAAATCTCTCGTAAGAACAAAAAAAAAATATGTAAAGCGAAAATGCAAGTGTTCTCTTTTCGAAAAGGATTCACTTGCCCCAGTCATTAACCGAACAATTCTAAAAACAAAAAAAAAAATATGAATCAAACTAACTTTAAAAACAAATAAACTCTAACTCTCTCCCTCTCTCCTCTATATATATATATAGATATATAGTTATATAAATATAATATATATATTCATATATATAACAAAAATATACATCTTTATATAGTATATATATATTTCCATTTACATGCATACAAAGATATACATATACTTATACAGAAAAAAATAACAAAAAACGAAGAAAAAAATCATAATACCTTTATACATCAAACAAATACAATACATAGTGTATTTAAGAAATATCGTCATAACACAACAACAACAAAAACACATTACATTTTACCGACTCATATGCGAATTGTTGTAATATTTTATGACATAATCGATTACCAATGCTCTCTTTCTTTGCAATCGTTTGTATTATTTAATGATATTCAAAACACTATATTTTTAAAATCTTTTTTTCTATTTTTTTTACACATTTACATCTAGTCGTTTATATAAATTATTATATATATTTTTTTAAATAGAAAGAGGCAATAAAATGTCATTTGTTTTATATATATATTTTCACATGTAAAATGCAATGCTCCGTTTTCGGAAGAATAAGGAAGGGAAACTTGGATTGTATACCATCTAAGGGCCACAAATGGATTTAAAAATAAGGGATTTCGTAACGGCGTAAGCTGTTTTCAGATCGAAGATTTATAGACCTTAATACAAATTTACCAGCTTTAATTGGAAGATCAATTAAATGGGGATTCAAGATATATGACTTTTTATAGTCCCTATACTGCGCGATCTCCTTTATAAAAATGTGTATTTCTACGGGTCTTTAGTAGATGGAATGCCAGCTCCTATAGATCTTCAACATATAGGAGAATCTCTATTGGTCAATGACTAAATATCTTTCTATAATTCCTTCTACATATGGTACACCCCCTGAAGTGTTATAGAAAGGATGGTTTCCTAATAGTTTCTGCAAAAATATACTTAAACAACTTGCATTGGACTTTAAGATAAAACAGCTTAAATATCTGCCATAGTTCTGTTTTATTTTGAAAATCTTCAGGCCTTCCAAAAAAAGATGACCTTTTTCTCCTTGTCGTTGGCCTTTTCCTGGTATTTTATACATTTACTGAACCTACCCAAACCTACTGTAGATAGCATACCTCCAATTGTAGTTATATAGCTAAAATTCCAATAGACCTTTCGTATAAAATGTCTAGATAAAATAGATGAATGAAGACAACCGGACCTTCAACAAAATGTGACGTTCTATACTTAAGTGTTTGGGATTCTTGAAGTCTTTATTAACGTCAAGAGAAGAGCTTTTAAAAACTACGACAGGAGGTTGTTGTAAACATTCAAAACTAAATATTCACAGCCTTACCAAAAAGGAACCCTTCTAAGCCTTCTGAGGGAACACGTTATAAACACCTTGAGTAGAGTCTTTATAGTCGATCGAATATAAGTCTCTAGTCTTTATGGGAGAAGCCCAAATGGTAAAAATATTGTCCCATAAGCGAACATAAGCTTTTTATCTTGCAAAAATATAGTCTTTATATGCTATAGGAGAAGAGTTTAAGCAGACTTAAAGGTAGTATTTTGGAATAGTTTTTTTTTGTAGGCTTTTGGAAGTTAGTGTTTTCGGATCCCAAGAGGTCTTTGTAGACGACCACAAGAAAATATTTACAGGTGATCCAATTTAACTCTTCATAGACCGATATTTGATGACCGTGACAGACCCATGGGCAAGACAAAGGCCGTGTATATAAACGTGCAAAAGAGTATTTATAGACCAGACCAGAGAGGTCCAGAAGGGAGCCTTAATCTAGTCTATAAAGTAGTCTTTATAGACAAGCAGAAGGGGGTTTTATAGAAGAGCAGAAAGGAGTCTTTTTTAGACGACCAAAAGGAGGTCTTGTATAGAAGTCGTTTAGATGATTTTATTGGCGAGTTTAAGAGAATTATGTAAACTGTTCGGAGGAAGAGTTCGAGAGGTACGATCCCGAGACGTGCCGCAGGAGATTTTGATAGGTGAGCAGAAGCGAGTCTTTATAGGCGTGCCGAAAATGTTCGTCATACACGGACCAAAGGTAGTATTTATAGAAGAGCCGGAGGAAGTCTATGGGCAAGCCGGAGGGAAACTTTATAGAAGACAGTTTTTATAGACAAGCCGAAGGCAGTCTTTATAGGCTAGCCGAAAGCAGTCTTTATAGACGAGTTGAGAGCAGTCTTTATGGACGAGCTGTAGTCAGTCTTTATAGGCGAGCTGAAGGCAGTCCTCATAGGCTTTCAAACTTAAATGGTGGGGGACATAACAGACGGACTGAAGAGAGTCATTAGAAAAGGGAAAGAAGAAGAGAGTCATTAGAAAAGGGAAAGAAGAAGAGAGTCATTAGAAAAGGGAAAGAAGAAGAGAGTCATTAGAAAAGGGAAATTTTTGATTTCAGACTCGGGCCATCTTAGCTCAAGAAATAGAGTGAGTTATTAGGCTATGGGATCTTTAAAAGGGCAATTTTCAATACCACGTTCTTAAGGCTAATAGTTATCTTATAGGAAAATTCTCTGTCCATCTAGTTTGATATTTTTCTATGGAAACATTTTTAGTCCACCAAGACGGCTTGACCGCAATTGGACAGGATTAATATTATTTCTTCCAAGAAAAACGCAAGACCCGCATGAGGTATATTTTTTATGAGAAAATTTGGTACCCCAGGACTGTTATTTTTTATAGGCTAACATTTTTCCAATAAAAAAGCTCTTAGTGTCCTAGAATTGAACCTTTTCCTATGGGTTTTGTTATTTGAAAAGGCTTTTTTCAGAACCTCAAGACTGATATTTCTTTTAAGACAATTCTTGGCTGAAATTTGTCCACTAAAATAAATACTGTAAAATAAACTTTATATTTTTTGTAGAAAAAATTCTTAATTTCCAAAGTTTGATCCTTTTTCTATGGGATCGATATTGTTTCCTTTTCTCAGAACTTCAATGTTGCCGTTTTTTTTTTATAAAAGAAAGGCTGATATTTTTTCTTAAAAAATTCTAACACCTACAGAGCTGATTTCACTATCATCCAGAACTGACGTTTTTTAATACAGCCCCAGGACTGTTATTAGGCCTGATTTTTTCTATAGAAAAAACTCATGCCATTAAGGATGATAGATTTCTGCAAAAAAATTTTATAAAAAAACATATTAATTTCCAAGATTTGGTCCTTTTCTAGGGGAATGATCTTAACTCAGAACTTCTGTGTTGCCGTTTTTTTTATAAAAGAAAGTCTGATATTTTTTTTAAAAAAATTCTAATACCGACAGCGCTGATTTGACTGTCAACCAGATCTGATATTTTTTCTTTAGAAAAATTCTCCGTTCTTTTGGTTTGATTTGTCTAAAACAAATTCTCAGTTTCCTAGGAATGATATTTTTATGCAAATAATTTCCAGTCCCCTAGAATTGATTTGCCACATGTATTTTGATCTCCGATTGGTCGTTTTCAAATCTATAAGTTTTGATTCTTTAAAAAAATCCCAAAACCGAGTGAGTGAATGCGGGTTAAATAATATGCTCTAAAGGGAGTATTAATAGCCTATTGGAAGGGAGTTTTTATAGATGACCGGTAGAGATTTCTTTTATAGGTGGTCCGAAGGATTTCTTTTTGGGCTAAGAGAAAAGAGTCCAGTCAGTCAATTCAAATTGACTATTTCTAGTTTTGAAATATGTTTCTTTTATGCCAGGTTCATTATTGCTGAACTTATTTTTTCCTTAACGTATGTTTAGAAAAAAAATCAAATTAATTCTATATTGTTGATATTATTTTATATACACACCAAATTTTTTTTATATAAATATGCATATATTTTTGTTTACCAGTTTGTATGGTTATGTATTTCCTCACACCACACACACATATGTTAATGGTTTTATTATCATTTACAACTGCACTGAGATTATAGTTTTTGTAAGATTTTTTTTTTTTACTTTTTTTAATTTATAAATGTACAATAAACATATAAGTGTAATAAATTTTTATATTTTTTATAATTTTTCTAATTTGCATTACTCTCACACACACACACACACACTCAAGCACTGCAATACACATCACTATTATTTTTTAAGGCAAAACAATATTTTACTAATTTAATTTAAGCATTAACAATTTAATAATGACATCAATTGTTTTATATACAAAAAAAAACGAAAATTACAAAAACAAAAAAAATTTGTATATGTTTAACATTTTTGTTTTTAATTTTCTCTAAGATCAAAACATTTGATTGTGATTCGAAGCCGTTCACTAAAGATGAAAACCAATTAAACAAAAAAAACTTATAAAAAAGTTGATAAAGAACAACAAAAAGGAAAAAATTAATTTTAATTTTTAACTACTGCTACTGCTGAACATGTTTTTAGGTTATGTTTTAATGCCACAACATAATGAATTTTAAGCTAATTAAGAAGAATAACAACAACAAAAAAAATTCAACTCAAGTCAAACTGAAGCAAATGCATTTTTTTTCAAACGAAATTAAAATCTCCATAAAAAATATAGAATTTTTTTTAATTAAAACTAATAACTAAGCAGAATTTATACTTTAAAAATGCTTCCGCCTCCAACAACAACATAAGCAATAATCAATCGATTTATGTTAAAAAAACTGTTCAATATTTAAACACAGACTATCATCACAAAAACACACACATTCAGGAACAGAGAGTCTTTATAGACGAGGTGAATCAGGGCAGTCTTTAAAGGAGCGAAACTGGAATTTAAGACCCTCAAGGCGGATATTTTCCAAAAAAAATCTCTAAACCTACTTTTTATAGAGAAACTCCCAGATCATTAGGACCGAAAACAGGGTCCAAGAGTAACATTTCCTCATATAGAAAAAGTCTCTGACCATGGAGTTTGATATTTTTTAATGGAAAATTTTCCAGATCAAAAGGACTGAAAACAGGGCGGAACCTCAAGATTAATATTTCCTTATATAGAAAATTTCACTGAGCATCGAGTTTGATTTTTTTAATGGATTTAGATATTTTTTTACAGAAAAAAATCTCAGATGATATTCTCGTAGACTATGAATCTTTCTAGGCGACTAGAATTAACTGTAGAGAGTCTTTATAGGCTGACTGAAGAACAGGGAGTATTAATAGACACGGTGAAGTAGAAAGTCCTGAGATCAGCCCTCAAGGCTTCACTTTTTTTAAAATAGAAAAAAATTCTCTGCCCATCGAAGTTGATATTCTTCTCGGGTCCTCATGACTGATATATTAACAAAATAACTGGCACTTGGACTTATTTTTTATAAAAAAAAATTCTCAGGCCATTGTCTCTAGAGGAGGAATATCTTGGATTGAAAAATCCCAATACCAATAATTATTTTATAGAAAATTTCTCTGGCCATCCCTGTTGGAAAAAAATACTCAGACGGGAGTCTTTGCGGGCGACCAGACTGAATTGACGCCAGACTTTACAATGTCCTGCCAGGATTGATCTAAGAGCATTTTTGACCCAAATGGCGATTATTATTTTTGTTTTTTAAATTAAAAATATTTTAATTCCCCATGGGCTGTTATTTTTTGTGGACTGGCATTTTTCATAAAAAAATCGGTTCTATAATTTGTCCTTTGGTAATAGGTTTTGATATTTTATTGGACTTTTTTTCCAAACTTAACCTCATATTTATTAAAACTTTTTAGACTAATATTTTTATGTAAAAAACATGCAGTATCCGAGGATTGTCATTTCTATATTTTCCGAAAAAAGGAAAATACCTGGACTACAACAAATATCAGTCCCTCAGGAAAATAAAACAAATATCAGTTTTCAAGGTTTATTACTTTTTCTCTCTCCCCTGGTGATGAATCAAATTTCTATAGAAAAAATTCTCGTTCACCCTATACTGGTAATTTATATGAAATAAAATTTCTTTCTCACCGAGCTTTTAACAGGGCTGATCTTTTGAATTGAAAATAAATCTCAGACCATGAAATTTTCATTTTTATAAAAAGATATGTCCCGATTCCTTTTCTAAAGGTTTTTTTCTTTGATTTTTTATTTCTCAAAACCTAAGGCTGAGCCAATTGCTACAGAAAAAAATCAGGCCCCCAGAGCTGATTTTTTTCATTCAAATCATGACTGATATTTTTTTTGTACAAAATTTCTTCCCAGCCCAGAATTGATATTTTGTATTAAAAAAAAAAAAAAAAAAAAAAACAGATATCTGGAATTTATTCTTTTTCCACAGGATTTTTTTATATGATTGTTCTAAAGAAAAAAGTGTTTCGAACGTCAGAGCGGAAATTATTTCCCATATGTTTTCAAAACTTTACTTTATCTATCCTACAAGACCAAAATATATTTCTTGGGAATAATGCTCTCTATCCCCTAGACCTCATTCTTTTTCTGTAAGAAAAATATATAAAACGAGCCTCACAGGACTAATTAATCTATCTTCAAGGACCAACATATATTCCTTCGGAGTAATTCTCTATCCCCTAGACTTCATCCTTTTTCTGTAGAAAAAAATTTCAAAAAAAAAAATAATAATAATAAATAAATAAAAATAAAAAACGGGGCATACAGGGATAATTTATCTATCATCCAAAAACAAAATAAATATCTTGGGAATAATTCTCTATCACCTAGACTTCATCCTTTTTCTGTAAAAAAAATTCCCAAAGCTCCACAACTGAAAAAATTCAAATCCCCAAGACTATATTAGTGCTGATTGTTTCCGAATGAAAACATCTCATCTGATATTTTCCTATAAAAGGACAGGACTGATTTGAAATCAGGATAGAACCTTTTGGATCTATTTTTTTATATTTTCTCAGCTATCAGGATCGATATTTATCTTTAGAAAAAATTGAACTTCTTTTTCATATATTCTTTTATAAAAACAAAAAAAAAACAGTCTGGGACCATTGCTTGGGAGAATTTCCTGATCTCACGAGTAAGATGCGTTGAGGCAGACTGATTGTAGTTTGATCCCATCATTTTGATCGCTGGCAGATGAACAGATGAAACGAAAGTGGCTTAGAAACATGACCTATATAGGGGTCTATTGGTGTGTGGTCCCTTAACTAAAGATATTTCGCAAGATTTTGATCTTTTAGATGTAGGGGAAGTAATCAGACTCTCCACCCATATGTCCCTTAAATTTCGGGGGTTTTCGTTCCTTTTAATATAAGTCCGAACACTATGTTGGCGTAGCCATTAGGGTAGCACCACCCTCCAGGGACGTACAAAGAAGTGAATTTCGAAATATACAAATATGACAGAAAAGTAGCCCCTGATTATGGCTTAAAAAAACCCTCGAATCAGAGATTTGTCCGCTGGAAAGAAAAAACAGATTCAAGTTTAAGATTTGAAGCTACAATTTCTCCTTCTCCATTTAAATTGAAATTCAAGAGGCATTGTCGGGGCCTAATCGTGTCTTTTCTTTAGAACATCGGTCCATCGGGTCCATTATTTTATTGCGACTTGCCTCTGAAGCACGAGCTTAGAAATTTTCACTACTTTACATAACCTTTTGTAAGTCTTTGAAGGAATTGTTCCTCAGGTATTCTGAGCCAGTTCCATTCGTTTGATGGTGTTGTATATATAGTGGACTTTCCAGATGCCTGAAGGAGAATCTCCTGGCCAGACTTTAGTTTTTTTCCAGAAAACCACTACACTCCTCTGTATTGAAAAGCATTACGGCAGACTGCGGTGAAGTCGTGGGTCCCAAACGAATTTGTTTCGTTAATCCAAAGAACATTGACACTAGGCTTTTTAGGACCAGCTTCTTTTTCATGATCCCAAGAACTGTTACTTTTCAGTAGCCTTGAGAGAACCAAGAGAGATTCAAATCCAATATTAATTTGTTATTTTTTTCGCATGAAATAGGAAATAAAATTAAAAAAAAATAATTCTAAATTTTTATATAAAAATTAAAAAAAAAAACAACAACAAACCATTGATAACCTTAAATAACCAAAACAGAAATATTTTAAATAT